TTATATATATATATATATATATATATATATATATATATATATATATATATATATTATATATATATATATATATATTTTTTTCTGCATTTGGAGCTCTTGGTGGGCCCAGATATTAAACTGGAATTATTACTCAAGTCTATTTTATCTTCTTTGTCACTGTATAGTCTTAAGAATAACCCAGAATAAACATAACATTGGAAACACAACATTTCTTACTGGCAGTCGTCTCGAAATGAGCAGAGCGGCTAGGTGTCAACCTGGCAGCAGGCAAAAGTTAGTGTGAAATGCAGAATACGCACGAATCTAAATAAGGCATTAAATCAATCTTAAAACGCGTAAATGAAGTATGAGGACATTCATAAAATACTTTAAGAGTATAAATGTGTAACTTTATACAATAATAAGTAGCCAAATATTGTTTTGACATGCACGTAGTAATACTGGAACTACTTAGGGCATCGCATTAAGGAGTTATGCGTTCAGTGTTGTTTTCCTTTGCAAGATAAACAAGCTCATCGACTTTGAATTTGAAAGGCAAGCACGTGTTATATTTTCGTCATTTAGTGGTGACTGTAAGGCCTCTGCATCTTATACCATATCCTATCCCACTCTATTTCTTCTGCTCTATAAGATGGCAGTGTCCAATTTTCTCGCTCTCTTTCATCACTACCATATATTTTAAAACAAAAACAATTTCTCCTCCGTGTACAGTTATGCGGGCTTTTCCTACACACGATCCTCAATGATTAGAATAAATGAACAAATATTAAATGGCATCATTGTTTTATTTACAAAAGGAAGGAAAGGATATCAGATGGTGATTTTAAGATATTGACACTTGCGTGTCCAATAACTTTGTTGTTATTGAGTTGCAGTTGAAGTTCATAGAAGATAAGTTTCTTAGAATCACTCACACTATTTGCTTGCAAATATAATTTTTCGTCTAAATGATGGCTGTGTATAACTGGACCTGGGTAATTGTTGAAGACCGCGACGCACCCTCGCAGAGACTAAGTAAAAAAAAAATGATGTTTTTCTGCATGAAATCCTATGATTTCATTGATTTTCGGCGTTGTTTCTTTTGCGAATGAATCGTTCAGGAGATCGAGTACCATTTCTCCATCGACGATCTTGATTTGATAGTCCCGTTAGCAGGGGAGGGCATGAAGTATATCAGGGAAATTATGGGGTAAAACAAGCTTAAATAAGAAGAATAGCGATCAAAAATGCGTAAAACTAGCACAAAAAGCGCTTAAAATCGGCCAATGAAACTCTACGGATGTAACCGCCATCTTTGAAGGTTTACGGACTGACGCGAAATAAATAAAAAACTCTACGGGATCCCAACCCACATTTCGGCAAAAAACTCTACGGGAATTCACACGTTCCAACCCCTAAAAACGTATTGACCAATAAACCAACCAACCTAATATATCAATATAAATTGCCGTGACTAGGCGTGACCTTCGGGCACTGCCCGAGGGGAGGGTTGATGGGGGGCAAGCCCCCCAACACCCCCCAGGACACATTCTCTCCACTACGGTATGTACGGCAAGACAGAGCTGCATTCACACCGTAAAATAATAAATCAAATACCTTTATATCCGGAAACGTGAAACTTTCGTTTCTTTGTACTGTTGGGATTGCTTCGATTTTAATCACCTTTTTCGTCCTTTGGCGCTCTTGATGGGCTCAGATATAAAACTGGGATGGTTACTGAAGTCGAATTATTCTTCGATGCCACTGTAAAGGTCTTAAAAAAGAACCCAGAATCAACACGACACTGGAAACGCAACATTTCTCACCGGCTTTCAATCTCGAAATGAGCGGGTTGATGAGCTGTCAACCTGTGGCTGGCGCAAGAAAGTGTGAAACACTCGATGCGCAGGATTCGATATGAGGGTATAGATAAATATAAAAATATGCAATTGAAGTATAATAACATTACTAAAAGACTTTAAAGGTATAAATGCGTACCAGCAGACACAGATAATTAGCCAAATATCGTATTGACAAGCGCGTAATGATACACGGACTAGTTCGCAAACGCAAAAATACTTTCGTGGGTCAGTGTCGTGTTTTTCCTAGCAAGGTAAACAAGCTCATCGACTTTGAATTTGAAAGGCGGCCGCGCGTTATATTTTTGTCATTTAGCGGTGACTATAAGGCCGGTGCATCTTAAACTATACGCTATCCCCTTCTATTTTTCCCGCTCTATAAGATGGCGGTGTCCATTTTCCTCTATCTACGTGCGTCGCGGTCTTCAACCTCTACCCTGGACCTGTACCAAACTGTCAACTCTGAGGTGTGGGTTTTCATTGTACTGCTGAAGGTTGCATGAAAAGAAATTTGCTACTGATCCTCCTGCCTTAAGCTGTAGAGTTCATCTTCTTGTCTACCAAAATGGACACTTGCACCACACTGCCACCAATACGCACAAGGCAGGAAAATGATTCAATATACCCTTTGTTTGTTGTCAAACTGCGACCTTGAGGAGACGAGGAGTGGAGCTTGAAAGGGAAACGTCATTTATTTCTTTATCCTAATCACTAATCATGACACTACAGACCATGTCTGTGAGACTAAAACGCATTTGTCTCCTGTAATTTCTCTCTCCTAGAGCGAAAGAAAATGTGCGAGAATTCAGCAATTTCCCCACAGAAACAAATGCAGGCACGCTCAGAAATCGTAAATTTCCTATAAGTAACTCTGTGACACTCAATTCAGATATCTGTGGGCGAAACCCAAGGAGAGCACTTGGAGTCAGTGAACTTGCTTGGTGCTTGTTGAAATTAAAGACACTTGTCATTTCGCACAAACAGCTGATGGGAGATTCGAGGAAAACAAAGTCCTCCTGTCCCTCCTTGGCAAGTCCCACGGCCACCGGGCCTCTCCTTCGCAATTCCCGTCAGCCTCCCCTCATGCCGGGCTCGTCTGCATCTGAAATGCACAATACACCTCGCTGGACTTACTTGGGAAGGAAATAAGCGGGAGAAATCCGAGCCAGCAGCACGGCGCTTCCAGTCAATATGGCGATGTCACTGCGCAGTCACGGGAACAATTACGTCATACGGAAAGGTCTTCAGAAACGATTTCTTTAGTTCATTGGGCCTTCTGTGGTGTTTCCTGGGACGCCGTTTTTGACTGTGCTCCGACAAAATTTTTACCAATTTTAACGGGCAAGTTGAACAGGGACAAATTCTACAGTGTCGCTGAAATTATTACAAATTATTGGAACATGGTAGGTGTGTATGTGTTCGAGCTCTATCGCTCGATGATTGACCATGACTTAGTCTCCATTAACCCTGACAAAGTGGGCAGTTCCCTGCACTGAACATTCTTCATTGTTTTTAAGGATGTCTAGTACGGCGAGGTAGAATATGCTCTCCAAGAGGATAGACAACTATTCTGGAATTTCATATCACATTCTGGAAATATATATATGGGCTTCGAATTTTGTGTAACTTCTTAAGTAACTCGGTTATAATTTGATAAAACATAATACTTTTTGCACACTTATCAGAATAAACGACTATCGACTGCTTCCTGCCATTTCCCTTCGGCCGTGGACATACTTCATAAATCACAGCCTAAGACAATTTTAATGATGATAATAAAAAATTATAATGGGAACATTGTTCTCAAGCCCAATTGTCTTTACATTTCCATAAGTCTAGAACTTCGAAAACTCAAACTTAATCAATGAATTAAAACAAAAATGGTTGTCAAATAATGTCCCCAATCTCTGACCTATATTTCCATGGACATGTAAGTCTAATCCATGAAGCCCGGCAGAGGTGCTTGCCTGTTGCTTAGTCATAATATTCACATGACTACATTTCTCCATTCATTTCCGTGTGACAAGGGTTTTGATTGCCTGTGTATACTTAATAGCAATTGCTATTGAAGGATTGATAGCGATTTAGTTGATGCGATGATATTTGCATTACGTATTAATTGTGGCATTGGTATATGGTAACTCGACAGTGACTTTATCAATAAGGCATATTTGCTCATATTACTAAATAATTATATGTAATTAAAAACAAATGCATGTAACGTACAAGTAAAGTCAGACTGTGTACATGTTGATCTCTTTGCAGGGGCGTACCCGGAGGAGGAGCACACCCCGCCCCCATTGCCCTTACTGTTGGTAATTTTCTTTCTCAGCGAACGGGGAAATGCCTACATTGTGATCAGATTTAAGACCTGCCCCTGCCCCTTTGCCACGATTCTGTGTGCTAATGGAATATCAACCTGTGATTAATTCTTGTATATATTTTTACGCCATGGACTTACAATACATTATACGTAGCCACTGCAAAATAAATCGGTTGCTGAAGAATACCGAAACTTTCTCTTCTGCAAACATATAAGTTGCTGTTTCATTCTCAGTGATCACAATACGTGATCAAGCAAGTTTCATTCAAGGTAACTATGATTCTTGTCTGGTAAAATTCTTTTTCAAAGATGCGAAAAATTATTGGGAGGTGGGTTATGCCTCTCCTTTACGAACGAGTAAAACATTTAATTGCTCGTGATATTCATCATTATATTTCCGTTAGTGCCAAAGATATTCCACTTTAAATGAAGTAATGTTTAGCTGTTGTAAACGAATAATACGCGTCAACATTTATTTTCATGATCTGATGCAATTATAGGATTTGGGGTTGCCTCTATGACAATTTAAAGCACCCAGTGATGCGCTGCCACTGGCCTCGGTTCTACTTATCTGTTCAATTGTAGGGACCAGCAGCAACGTACAGGTACGATGCCACACTCCTTCTTGGCCAAAGTTTTGATGGTGTCTTTAAATAACGTTGATTAAAGACACATACCTAATTTGATTACAGGTTTACTCTTGATAACAGAGCTGCAATACATCTGCT